TTACATTTTCTAAGCTTTTTCTTCAATTACGACTTTAAATGTGACTTGTTTTGCCATGCGTTAGAACTCTATATTAATAAAAATACTAATTAGCTTTTTCAGGTATGTCAGGCCAGTAGGCTAGTGTATTATTTCAAAAAAGAAAAGTCTAAGATCAGCTTTAACCAGGGCCGTACGCAGGGTTTGATAAATACAGAGGTCCCAAATGGTTTGGGCATTTTGATTTTCCCAATCTACACGTGCATTTTAAGGTTTTTGAATGCAAAAAAAGGAGGATAACGTAGCTTTTCATTTCAGTGGGCAGTAGCGTCAATTAGCCCATTTTTTTAAGAAGATGACACATATTGAGTTAAGGCTTTTTTTTTTTTGGAGGGAAATCTTAGTGTTCGCATGGGCAGTAGCACTGGCTTTAGCGGCTTTCATCTCATGATGGACGGCTCATGATATTTATTTTAGCACAACTGGGCTGTATTGATTCCCATGATCTTTGAATTCATTTAGTCATTTAGCAGATGCAAGGGCGTAGGAACGTCTTTGACATTGGGGGGGACATATTGGCCACTATGAATCAACGTCTATCCCACCACCACCATATAGTAACATACAGTTTGGTGATGTGGTACTTGCAGTGGTGGTCTGTTTTGGGGCCCCCTCCCACTATGCGAAGTCACCTGTGCTTGACGATTATTGACACAAATGTCACGCAATAATGATACATTATAAAGGAATGCTGTGTTAATAAAAAATAAATACTTAATAAAAAAAAAAAAAATAGATGCCTACTTAAAAAAAAGTTTTAACTTTTGCTTTACTCTATTACTAACTCTTTGAAACTTCTTAAAACAAACCATCTCAAAATATATATATAAATGTATTATTTGCTAAAATAATGAGAAAACTGAGAATTCAGAAACAAAATAAGAGCAAGGGTTCAATAATGACAATTATTGTTGAAAACTGTAAAAATATTATTATTTCTCAACTGTCTCAATACAGAGCAACTGTCCTCAAAATTTTTTTTATTATTATTATTGTAACAGACTTTTTTGGATTGTAAATGACGTAATCAATAAGGGCCGTAGGGCCGTTACATAGTCAACGCATCGGTACGCATACGCGTCCGCATGGCTATGCATCGCTACGCTTTGGCCGCCATTATGCGTCGATGCGTAGCCAAATGTGTCGTCCTAGTTTTTGATACGCGACGCACTGATGCGCGCAATACTATGCGTTATCGGTGGGGGCGACATTGCAAGAATTGTACATTAATTCAAATATATCATGTTAACAGAAGAAGAAGGTTTGAATACAATGGCGGGCGAGAAGGAAAAATTATACGAGCTTATCCCCGCATTTATATCATCCGCATTTATACGACAGAATTCACAATCACAATTAGTAGGCTACACTCAAATAAAATTGCGTTGGAAAATGCCTGGAGAGAGGTTGCAATCGCGATGGGAAAGACAGAATCAGGTGAAAACGGACTGGAAAAGTGCCCGCGACAAATTTACCAGGTTATATGAATTAATGGTTTATGGATATGAATTAATGAATTAAAATACCAAATTAGGTAAAATGTGTAATGGTTTTTACATAATTTAAATAATACCAAATTATAAAAAATGTGTAATGGTTTTCACATAAAACCAAATAAGTTAAAATGTGTAAAGTGTGAAATAATAATAAAAAACTCATGCTTCAAATCGAACTTTTATCAATTTATTTGTCAGTGCTACCCAATCGTAGCACACTGTAGCCTATGGGCTCTATGCACGGCGTTATTTCCGGTGAAGCATTAGGGATGCTCGATAACTTCCGCCGATCATAGAGTCCAATGCAATACCGAGAATTTATATTGAATTTTATACTCCATGGTTATACTAATGAAACGTTAGTCACAAAAACAGATAAAACAGACACCCCTCGTTGTGTTTATGCTTCTTTTTAAAATTATATTAAATAAACATAACTATATATAAAATTACATCTAAACGTATGTACGTTTCGTTTCAAAGACGGGAGGACAGTAAATATTGAAGACTCTGCCATAATCCCGTTTTCTCCGGTTTTCCTCCGCTTTAATCTACACAACCGGAAATGGACGAGCATCCTTACGTCAAATGCGGAACTTATGCGTGCATACACGCCAGCATCTGATAAAAAGTAATCAGCCAGCTGCTCCCTGACAAGTGCCGCTCTCCGGGAGGGTCTGCTGCTTAAAGGGCCAACACGAACGCATCGATACCGGTACTGATGTACTAGCGCTCGTTGTATGTGTGTGTATGCAAGTGTATTTTTCCCCTCGGGGCTTGCCGTAGATGGGTCCTGCGCACTTAGTACGGTCGCGAGTCTTTGGAGTTAGTGATCTGATGTGTGAAATAATAAAGAGGAGAAGAGTTCAAACTGCTGTGTTTATTATTTAATCAAACTGCAAAAAAGGTATGTGATATTATAAGTGACATGATTAGATAAATCATGTAGATAAATGATTAGATAAATCATGTAGGTTCCAGTTCAAAGCTGGTGCGTTAGTGTTAACTTCTCTCTACCAATCAGATGCTCCGAAGGTTTAACCGGGTTTAAGGGTTTAACCTAACTATTATTCTGGGTTTGACTTGCTGGCAAAACCGAATCTCTTCTTTGTCGTGCATTAAAAATAAAAGTTCCAAATGACACGGACACATGCCGCATTTAAAGGGTTAGTTCACCCAAAAATGAAAATTCTGTCAGTATTTACTCACCCTCATGTTGTTCCAACCCCGTAAGACCTTCGTTCATCTTCGGAACACAAATTAAGATATTTAGGATATTAAAATCGCTCCTGCATACAGTCCATAGGCTTCTTGAGGGACTGGCTCTTGCTGTCCTCGAAAAGTAATTGAAGACATCGTTAAAATAGTCCAAGTGACTACAGGGGCTCAATCTTAAGTTTTTCAAACGACGAGAACACTTTTGTGCGCAAAAAAACAACCCATCTCTTCACCACACCGGCAAAATTCGTGCTGACGCGGCCAACACAACGTTGCGCAACATCAAATTGGCAAGCGTAATGAAAGCAGAACGAAACTGCGCTACTCGTTATGTGCTTCACGGATCGTTTATCAGTTCGGACCAGCAACATCTGTGCAGCGCGAGCCGATCTCGACCAAGCTGTTACTACACAGCGCTAAGAGATCCGGTAAAGAAAACATTTGAATTCGCCACTGAGGTAATAACATCGCTGCGAGATCTAGTGAGATGCATACACATTTCTCCGTTATTTACCGTAGATCTCTATTAGATTAAACAGCGCTGTCATGGAAACCAGGAGAAACATTGTGCCGTGAATGAACTAGTACTTTACGTCCACAGACCAGCAACATTCACCATGGATTTAATATAGTAACACTAACTGGAACCAGTTTGGCTGGAATGGTGAAATGCTTTCAAGTACTTCACACATCTTTTTCTAGCACTTCAAAATTCAAATATTATATAAATAAATATAAATATTTAAATGTTATTTTTAATGCACTCTCAGAAAAAAAGGTACAAAAGCTGTCACTGGGGCTGTACCTTTTCAAAAGGTACACTTTTGTACCCAAAGGCTGCATATTGGTACCTTAGTGGTACATATTAGCACCTAAAATGGACATATTACCACCTGAAAAGGACATAATTAGCTCATGAAATTGACATATTAGCACCTTAAATGTACATATTAACACTTAAAATGTACATATTAGTACCTCAAATGTACATATTACGACCTAAAATGGACATATTAGCTCATAATATTGACATATTACCTCCTGAAATGGACATATTAGCACCTAAAATGTACATATTAACACTTAAATGTACATATTAACACTTAAAATGTACATATTAACACCCAAAATGTACATATTAACACCTAAATGTACTTATTAGCTCATGAAATGGACAAAAGTTTACCTTTTGAAAAGGTACAGCCCCAGTGACAACTTTTGTACCTTTTTTTTCTGAGTGTGTGATGACCAAAACATTATTTGTTCATCCTTCAAAGATGACCCCCATTTATAAACCTGAAAGTTTCAAGATCTAGGAAAACTCACACTTATTTAAAAATATTTTTTCTTTAAACAAATAGGAAATTTCTCTGGCATTTCTTTCTTTTTGCTGTATCGAAAACGTACCGAACCGTGACTTTAAAACCGAGGTACGTACCGAACCGTGATTTTTGTGTACCGTTACACCCCTAGTATGTATTGCTAGTTTAGAATAATTTGCTCCAGATTCTAACTGCAATAATAAAATGTTTGAATGTCAGAGATCCACCTGATTTGTTTGGTAGACTTATTTTTTTTAAAGAAATATTTAACGTATTATTACTGTGTAAAGTCATCCATATAAACTGACTTCAAGGACTTTGCAAGGACTTCCTAATAATGTTGGCCTGTAAACTGCAGTTTGTTCAGAAGAGGGCAGTGTTACACCGTGAGAAACTTCTTCATCTGTGAGAACTGCCATCCCTGAATGAAAGGAAGACTGTTCGCCTGGGATATTCATAGCCTAAATGATTTAAGAGCCAGCTGTACAGGAGTGTAACTCCAATAATAATACAAAAATGACCTTCAGTGAAACAAGTTTATTTTTACTCTACAAAATGTCACATGGAAAGGGGGTTCAGGAGGGTCTGAGGGTCAAACCATAATATATATAAATCAGGGATGTGCAACTGTCCTGGAGGCTCAATGTCTTGAAGACTTAGCCTCAATTCTAATGAAACACTCCTGAACAAGCGTATCTGCACGGTCACTAAAGCTACAGACAGTGTGTTTATCTCAACTCGACGGGACACTGGACCTCAGGAGTGATGTCACCCAATCCTGGCTTTCCATTCTCATACAAACTATCTGACAAATATCAATCACTATATAGATTATACCATTCCTGTCATAATGTTGTGTATACATAGAAAATATAGCAACCTAAATAAATAGAGCTTCAATTTCCAGGGGGAAAAATCATTTCCACATTCTTCAGACTTTAATTTGACCTTTTCTGGTTTCTATAATGGTGTACAAAAGATTTGAGAACTATACATCTATTGTGTCAAATCAGTCACAATTACAACCTCAAAACCAGGGGTGGAGCGTTTCATGTCACAGAAAATGATAATAATACACCGGTATTATCGAAGAAACACACCTATGCACAACTCGAGCCAATAGGGAAAACATCAAGTGCATTATTGGACCAAGCAGAAGTGTGAGGCAAAACATTCTTTCAAAAATATCTAGATATAAAAGTGAGTGATACATTTAGGCAGTTTTTCTTGCTGTGTTCAGATGCAGACTGTCATTCATTATAACATCTATAGAAGATAATTAATTTTCTTTACCCTTCATATCACGGCCCATATCATATCTATCAATATTCAATCCAACAAAAAAACAAAAACAAAAAAAAAACAATGGAACTTGGATTATTGGATACATTTACACATATTTACTAAGGCCTGATTTCTTAACTACAAAAATATACTTCAATTTTCATATTTTTCATCAGCCTTTGGCTCCTCGGGTTTGTGGTGCAGGAAAAGTTTGTCCTACAAGAAAGTGCATCAAGCAACTATAGCTACATCTTTTCCTTTCTGTTTTGGACAATCAATGACCAAATATACATACATACATACATACATACATACAAAAAAAATAATAATAATACTGAAGATTTGAATACTCGGTGGATCTGGAAAGGTGTCTGCAAAAACCATGACGAGAACAATAAAGACGTAAAGGAAATAAAATAGCCCAAAACACCCCGATATTCATTTGGCAAGGGGATCTTTTTTTTTTTTTTAGATAATTAATCAAATGTAAGATTATATAAAAAAGTAAATGCCATCGTATTCATTTCGGTAAATTGTGCAAACCCACATTCCTAATTGTGCGTGATCTCAAATGAATCGGCTCAAGCTTTAGGACTTTGCCGGAAGATCTCCACGGGGAAGTGCAATTAAACTAATTACAGTTAAAGCTAACTGAAACGTTCAGATTTAAATAGGCAATAATTGTCTTTTTCTAAATGCTCTGTGCTCTTTTTAACTGTTAAACACATCACACTGACTCATAATAAGTGATTACTCACAAACCAGACGGGACTGCAATTTGGTATATAGGTACACCATTGACAAAATATACATAAATATACACCTTTCAATTATTAAATCTAAATAATAAGTACACATAATGAGCTGATGCAAGTGAGGAAAGAGAGAATGACAGCACTGGCCCGTTGTAATGGCACTTTTTTAGACTGTTAATAAATTATCCCGAAATATGGATATACCAAAGCCCATTCTCTCATACAGACAGACAGCCATCTTGTTTCTTAAGCTGGGTCAGGGGGCGCAGAGATGGCTGTACCAATTAGCACCATTTGTGTCCATATTTAACCGTCTCTTAAAAGATCAACACAATCGAATTATACAGAACGCCCGCTGTGACCCCATATGGGCCGACGACAGGAGGCCGACAAACAGCTCGTAGCTCAGTGGACCCTACATCTCTTCTTCAGATGTCTGTCAGTGTCTTTTCTCTGCCATTTCATGCCAACTGCAACCTTTGTCCTGACTACAGCTACTTTATATACATGTTTAAAAAAAATATGCACAATATATAATAAACAAGAAAACCAAAGTGGGTTACGTAATGTTGTCCTCGAGATCAAGTCTGACATCTAGGAGACGACTTTCTTTCTTTTTTCAGACGTGGAAAATAGCAGTGTACCTAGTGTTTCTCAATAAACATTTAGATATATGTGAGGCATCATTCTGTGTAATATAATCAAGGCCCAAAGGTTCAGTATGTCAACCTGAAAAAGACACACGGTGTACTAACCACTTCTTTAAAGTTTAAACCAAACGTCACTGTCCCTTCCTTCCCAGAAGAGCGGTTTGGATGAAAGCTGGGACATTTATGACCGATTCAAGGCCACAAAAGTATTCCGGTAACAACCTGATGGAGATGCATTATTGTGTTACTTTGGTGTACCTTGAAGCGTTCAAAGAAAAAGACAAAAAAAAAAAAAAAAAACATGAAATATGAGAGCGGGTTTGCTTCGACATATAAATCCTATGGGCTCTTTTAACTGTTTGACACAATGTATGTAAAGGAGCTCGAATTTCTGCATTCATAATGTCATAATTCTTCCGGTTTTGTATTATTCTTCCACTTTAAGTGTTATTCTCTCCATCCAGGAGTGTTGAGGCACTTGGGGAAGGACTATCCCAACCTGTAAGGCTGCATCCACAGTGTTACATTTCATATGTGGCAATCCCAACATCTATTTCCTTTTTTATCGGCATTTTCATGTTTAAGAAGCACCAGCTGCGTCCTTTAGATCAAAAAGCACAGTTGGATCCGAAGTTTCGAGGTACCAGACTTCCAAAAAAGTGGGACTTTCTTTCGATCTCCAAGGGAATGGACAATAACCTTGGGTGGTTGACAAGTGATCCTTCTTGTATTGTGAGATTGCTCTTCTTGAACTTATTGAACATCAGGTTGTGCCACAAAAACCAGCAAGATGTTGGTTTGAGTGTACATGAAAAGAAGGAAGACTGAGAAGCAGAAACAAGAGAGATATCCTTCACATATGTCCAGAATATTTTACAGTGAGCCTGTCCATGAGCAAAAATGTCAAATATAGGGCAGCGTACAACATTTCAGGAGAGATCCCCGTCAGTCTGTGAATGTAGGAAGTCTGGTCTCCTTTTGACTGGGGTCAATAGTTCACCTTGGTGACTGGTCTTTCACGACCCCCTCCATCCACCAGCTGGTTGACAGAGCGCTTGCGGTTGCGTTTAAGTTTCGAGTCCTTGTCAAAGACTTCACCTGAGCGAAGCGCCGACACGAGATCATCGAACTCTCCCACCTCCTCTGACACACTGCCGCCCACGCTTTTCTTCACTCGTCTCTCTCGTTCCCGCTGGTCCTTCAGCTGGGGTGGATAAATGAACAGAGACGATGTCAAATAGCTAACAAAAAAAACCATTTATTTAAATTAAAGTTCTAAAAGCGGCTTGTTTGGATGTCGGGAGCTTTGTGACATCACAATCGCAAATATATCTGGATATGACGCAACTGAAGACTCGTCACGGAGACTCACTAGTAGCCTAGAGTTGTTGTTAAACTACTGAATGATGTTAAACTATTTGAATGATTATGTATTTCTTTTATAAATAATAAACAATAATTAAGTATATTCATTGTTACTTAATCATTTATTGACATAAATGTATTCTTTGTGCTTTTGCTTGTGAAATCATATACTTAAATGCATGCTGATGTAAGTCACCAGCTTCTTTTTGGTGCACAAGGCCATTTGTCTCTTTCTCTGGTCTCAGGAGAAATGTTTGTGGATCCTAAAGGCGTCGTGAACACATGTCCAACACATATGATACTTCTCTGTACAGATGGTCAAGCTATATTGAGCATTGCTATATTGAACTTTAATAAATGTATTCTTTCTATTATATTTGCTTTCTGGGGAGCAAATGTTATCTGTTTTTCTCCCAAACGAGTTTTAATTTACTGCATTTTATTTTTATCATAATTTTTATTTTTCATTATTTCTTATTTTTTATTCTAAACTGTTTTAATTATTCTGATTTCTTTTGATTATTTTAATTTCTTCCATGTAAAGCACTTTGAATTGCCATTGTGTATGAAATGTACTATATAAATAAACTTGCCTTGCCTTGCCTTACTGCGCTCTGTTACCGGTAGGCGTGGCCTCCTAGGGCAGCGAAGCAAGTGCATTCTGGGAGTTGTTGTCTTACATTTCAGTACATGTCAATTACATGTCAATACATTTTCTGGCTTTTCTCAGTCTAGAAAGCTCCAAATTCAAAAATAAATTTCACAGATTTCTTCTACATAAATGACCCATTTTCCAGAGGTGAAGTATCCCTTTAAAGGTGACAGCCCCGTTTTTGAGCAAAAACCTTTACCAACAATATAAGTTATTAAGGAACATAAAATAATAACAAAAACAGACATGTTACAGCTCAAGAAAAACAGCTGTTAACGATTAGAGGCTGCAAAGAGTGTGAAACGCTAGTGTGAAATCATCCCGATGAACTTTATCTCTGGATCCTGTAAACATCTCTGTGTGTATTTTGAGTATTGTGTACTGTACCATGGCCTCCATGCGTATTCTCCGCTCTTCCTCCTCCTTGCGTCGCTGCATGTTCTCCAGGTCGTGTCGGGCCTCGCTGAACGACTGCAGGAAGATGTCAAAGATACCGAAGAACTCATCCGGCTGCATGCGACCTTCCTCCTCTCCAAAATGCTTCAGAGACTTGGAGAACTGGAGTGAAGAGGAAAGAGAGGAGAGTGATAACCTAATGAGGATAAGTGTGTACTTGGGCTGTGGGCTACTTCAACCTGTGAATTGGATATGTTACTGTGTACCATGTTTGAGAAGGTAGCTATTGGCTAAGGCTGGGTAGTACAGACTCTCAAAAAATGGTACGAAAGTGGTCACTAGGGCGCTACCCTTTAAAAAAATTACACAAATACACATTAGTCCCTAACTGGTACATGTTAGTTCCTTTGACAGCTTTGCTATTACAGATGTCTCTTAATCACTTAGTCATTTTCAGACATTTCATATACACCTCTTAAACATCTCCACGACATTTCGATGACATATCATAGACATCTTCAAGACATCTCATGGACATCTTAAAGACATCTCTAAAACATTTCATAGACATCTCTTAAACATCTCAAATATATGTCCTAGACATCCTCAAAATATATCCTAGACATCACAAGGACATCTCCAAGACATCTCCAAAGACATCTCCAAGACATCTCCAAGACATCTGCTAGACATCTCATGGACATCTCATAGACATCTCCAAAACATCTCCAAGACATCTCCAAGACATCTGCTAGACATCTCATGGACATCTCATAGACATCTCCAAAACATCTCCAAGACATCTCCAAGACATCTGCTAGACATCTCATGGACATCTCATAGACATCTCCAAAACATCTCCAAGACATCTCCAAGACATCTTCAAGACATCTCCAAGACATCTGCAAGACATCTCATGGACATCTCATGGACATCTTATGGACATATTGTAGACATCTCCTAGACATCTCTTAGACATCTCATGGACATCTCAAAGATATCTCTCAAACATCTCATAGACATCTCTTAAACATCTCCTAGACATTTCCAAGACATATCATAGACATCTCCAAGACATCTCTTAAACATCTTATATAAATGTCATAGACATCCTCAAAATATATCCTAGACATCTCATGGACATCTCCAAGACATCTGCTAGGCATCACTTAGACATCTCCAAGACATCTCATGGACATATTGTAGATACAAGACATTTCCAACCCAGATAGCACAAGGCTGTTTGATCTCCTATTTACATCTGGAAGACGTATTTTAAAGAGTGTCTTCTAAACGTCTATTTGACATCTGACAGGACACGTCCTATAGACGTCTTGCAGATGAGCAAACACTCTTAAAAATATGTCTTCCAGATGTAAATAGAACATCAAATACCCTTGTGCTATCTGGGAAGACATCTCCAAGACATCTCCAAGACATCTGCTAGACATCTCAAAGATATCTCTTAAACATCTCATAGACATCTCTTAAACATCTCGTAGACATTTCCAAGACAGATCATTGACATCTCCAAGACATCTGCTAGACATCTCAAGGACATCTCATGGACATCTCATGGAGATGGAGATCTCAAAGATATCTCTTAAACATCTCCTAGACATTTCCAAGACATCATAGACAATTCCAAGACATCCTCAAAATATATCCTAGACATCTCATGGACATATCCAAGACATCTGCTAGGCATCACTTTGACATCTCATGGACATCTCATAGATATCTCTTAAACATCTCATAGACATCTCTATACTCCACAATCCAACATTTTCAATGCATTGTCAATCCCTGCTACATTTTACCTCAAAAAATACACATGGATGCCAAGACAGGGAGATTAATCCTGTTCACTGTGAGTGCCCAGAAATGACAAAAAATCATTGCACTGGGCCATACGCTTGCAATGATTGTTCACTGAATGTACGTACCCAAGGCTATCCACTTTTAGTGTGGTTTGGCATATCAAGGTGTTAAAGCCATTTGAAGATCAGTCTGCCAGAAGAGGATATACCAAGTAGATTTGCCATGGGGAACTCATTTATCTCAGTTCTAACTGTCATCTGTCTCATTGTGATTCTGGCCAAGTCTTCATCTCCGTCTCCACAGCTCAATGAAGCCACCAATTATCTTACGAAGAAGTGATACTCCATGTGAAGTCAAAACGAGTCAGCCTTTATGGGGACGGTTAATGTTAAGTAATATTATAGATTTAACTGCACTGACACTGAATGAAAATTCAATTTAAACCGAATTCAGCTGGATAATGACACTAGCTTTGCAACACTGACTGTTATTAAACTGAATTGAATTGAATAATGACTTCTGCAGAGATCTTCAGCATCTCAGTGTTGACAATACTCCTCCCTTGTTCTCAGCCGTAGTGTTTGTGTTCATTTTAACCCACCTCAGGGGACAGGATTTCTTACTGGAGACTGAATTCTGACCCTTGGAATGAAGCAGGAAGAGGTAGATCTGTCTGGAAAGCACAGGGAGGCCTTTGTGTCCTCACAGCTCATAGAGCTTCAGGGTGAGCCATTTCTCAAGAAGTCTCGCCAAACTTTAATGGCATTACTAAATAAATAACTTGGGAAATGGTGGAAAGGGTTAAAGCGACGGTTCAGGAGTTCGGAAGTGACCAAAACACATCCCTACTCACACTTTCCACCACCACAAACACACAATCTTCAAAGTGTTCCCAATGGCTGTCTCTTTCATGTACTTGAGAGTTGGGGACATACCATAGTGGGGGTGGGGTTGAGTCCAAGCCACATTTCAAAAGAAATAAATCTCCGCAAACCCCTGGAGAAAAAGCCCTGAGAAATTTAGGACCGGCTGCCGGGATTCCCCGGGATGTTTAAGTCATCATGCCGAGTACACAAAGCCTTTTTCTTTCTTTCTCTCTCATTCCTCCATCCTTCTAAGATATCAGGCCCGGCTCTACGCACAGGGTTGGCAGGGCTCTAAACGATGGAGAAGGGGGTTGGGAAGGCTGTGACCCACTCAAAGACCCTGTTCTGCCCTCAACAATAACTCTGAGCTCATGTTGGAGAAAACATTTCCAGCCCTGGGCACTGAAGGAACAATCCATGCCTTTTGTTTTCTCTCCCTCTCTGCCAAGGAACTCCTTTGTGTGATTGTATCTGGCTAAAATGAATCCCTTTGTTTTGGAATGGAGATGAGGAAAAGTATTATTAGGTTGGATTTTTGAGGTTATTGTGACTGAATTATTAAGAGACGACGTTACCTTATCTTTGGCTTCATTGAGTAGATCCTCGAGTTCAGAGAAGCTGAAGCTAGCGACGGTGATGAAGTCACTGACCACTGGGACGAACTTGTCCCCCCGATCACATGCTTGGCTCTGCTGGTATCGTAACTCCTGATATAAACAGATGTAAAATTTGTTTTTACTGATACACTGTCCTACTTATTCAGTGGGCAAATTGACTGTTTATTTTATAAATGTATATTTGAGTTCATTTTTAAATTATTTATTTATAGTTTATTAAATATTAAAGGTGCATTGTGCAAGTCTCTGAGTTTTTGCAGAACTACACCCCCTCTGGTGACAAGCGAAACTGCAACCAGAGGTGTGAACGCTCACGGACCACACACACACACGTTTGCACGAGCTGTTCATGACCAAAGGAGCATCAGCTGCACACATCTTTTCTTACAGTCATAATGTCTTTAGAGGTAATAAAGTTATAAATCTGCAAGTCATTTTAAATATATGAAAGGAAAGGCATTTGACGGGGGTAACGTTAGTAGAAAACTTCGGTTTTTGTTTCCATCTATCTCCATGTTCAACTGTTTTATGTGTTTACTGTATCCACTTATGATTGTATTAATATGGAAACATGTTCATGAACAATATAACTTTGTATAGGAGCCGTTTGATCTCTCCGTTTGTTGAAAGCTTCCCGATGTCGACTCTCGTCTTATTCCCACGCCTGGCACTAGACACAAGTTTGATTTTCTTTGTCTTACGTGGAGTTTGCGTCGGGGTTTGGAATGAACTACAAGCCGGTCTCTTTGAATCCATCGTCTTTTGTGGAAAGTTGACTAAAGTTTTGTCGCTCGAGTTGTCTTAAACAGTAAAATAAATAAGGGATTCGGGACGGATTTGAGACTGGGCGTGACATCATGCGCGTTCACGCTCGTCTGGCGATGTCTGGCAGGTTTGTGTATTCGCCGCCATTCTCCGTATCAGAACCTGCCAGACATCGCCAGACGACGTCACGTCCAGTCTCAAATCCGTCCCGAATCCCTCTTATTTATTTTACTGTACAGGATTATTAAAGGCGATCGCAGTGATCAGAGAAGGGCTCATTCAGCCAATCAGGCGATTGTTTAAGCATGTATGGGTTAGAAAAATGGGTATTTTTAAAATGAAATGTTGCGCAATGCATCTTTAAGTAAAATAAATATAAATGCTAAATTGATTGGCTTTATATCAGCTTGATATCTCTAAGATATCGGCATCAGCAATCAAAAAAAATCAATATCGGTAATATCATATTTTACCTTGTCTAGAAGATTCTTCACTAGCAAAAAAACATTAGGTAGCTAATAATAAAATACTAAATAAAGAGTATGTCAGTTATGTTTGAGGGGTGTCTCTGATGAGAACGTTTTTAACCGTTCACAGGAATACATGACGGATGCCTCACCGCCTCCAGAGCTTTCAGGCCGTTCCTGATGCTGAACACTTCCTTCTCCAGCTCAGCCAGACTGTGGGAAAGCAACAGTATGACAAAACCATAAACTGATCCACAAAACAGCCCAAGCACACACCACAAACAATATAAGGTGGGACTAATATATAATATAATATATTATAATATATAATATAATATAATATAATAATATAATATAAGGTGGGACTCACTTGACTTTGGCAGCTTCTGGTACACTGAATAAGTCCTGTTGTATATTGAGGATGTCAGGGTAATTCTTCTCAAAGATCATGATCAGGTAATGCAACATGGTGATGTTCCTGTTGAAAATGCAAATAGAATAATGATGTATTTCAAAATTCAAGCAATGAAATAATTAACAAATATACCAGTGTTATAAATCCATTCACTTCAAATCTTCTTAAAGGAGTAGTTCACTTAAAAAAAAAAAACTTTTGCTGATAATTTACTCACCCCCATGTCATCCGAGATGTCCATGTCTTTCTTTCTTCAGTCGAAAAGAAATTAAGGTTTTTGATGAAAACATTCCAGGATTTTTCTTCATATAATGGACTTCAATGGGAACCAAACAGTTCAAGGTCCAAATGAGAGTTTCAAACTAAGCTTTTTTTTTTTCATTTTTTCAGTCATTTGGTTGATTCAATGAACAAAATGAACCATATGACTCAAAAAAAGATTCATTCATTTTGATGAACGAGTTTGAACAGGAGAGTCACAAACAGAACAGAGCAAAGAGCTTATAAAACTTAAACTTTGTTATTTATTTATTAAATGAGCGATCGTTTCTCTAGATAAGACCCTTATTCATCGTCTGGTGTCGTTTAAAGCCCTTTGAACAGTTTGCACTGAAACTCTCATTTGGACCCCATTGAAGTCCATTATATGGAGAAAAATCCTGGAATGTTTTCATCAAAAACCTTAATTTCTTTCTGACTGAAGAAAGAAAGACATGAACATCCTGGATGACATGGGGGTGAGTAAATTATCAGCAAAAGTTTTTCTTAAAAGTGAACTACTCCTTTAATGCAATTTATTCCATCAAACTTATTTGAAAACAAAAATGCAATTAAACATTGTATTGCAAAACAGCACAAGAGAAAAAAAATAGATATGTCTCATGTGAGGACACAATGTATCTCATGTAGACACAAATAATGTACACTTTTTTAACAATTCATTGAGTGAACTCAGATCAGTAAAATGAATTGTCAAAGGTAGCGGTGAAAAGGCCAAAAGATGCTTTGATTGAAAAAATAGATCCTCTTTATTGACCTCTGACCTGTCTATACTTGACTTTGTGTCCACGATCTTGTTGAGGCTGGACACTTTGAAACCATATGCGTTGCCCCGCTGTCCTTTGTTCATGAAGTTCCCGAAAGCCAAAACCACTTCCAGAACCTGTGTCAGACGCTTGCTTTTCATCACCTCACGCGACGCGCACAGAATAGCTAGAAAAGAAATGCACCAAAAAACTGTTTGGTTAATGACATTTTTCTAAATCTTCTTTTGTGTTCCATACGAACACAAGCCATACGAGTTTGGAATGACACGAGGACGAGTAAATGATGACAGAATTGGGTGAAGTATTGCTTTCTCTTATAAACACCCACATGAAAGTCTGTCATTCAGAAAATTTGTACACAATCCCCAACATGTGTTGCTTCTTAAAGGAGTAGTTCACTTTAAAAAAAACTTTTGCTGATAATTTACTCACCCCCATGTCATCCAAGATGTCCACGTCTTTCTTTCTTCAGGCGAAAAGAAATTAAGGTTTTTGATGAAAACATTCCAGGATTTTTCTCCATATAATGGACTTCAATGGGGTCCAAATGAGAGTTTCAGTGCAAACTGTTCAAAGGGCTTTAAACGATTCCAGACGATGAATAAGGGTCTTATCAAGCGAAACGATCGCTCATTTAAAAAATAAATAACAAAGTTTAAGTTTTATAAGCACAAATGGTCGCCTTGCTCTGTTCTGTGATGCGCGTTCGTGACTCTCCTGCTCGAACTCGCTCATCAAAATGAATGAATCTTTTTTCGAGTCATTTCGTTCGTTGAATGAACCAAATGACTCAAAAAAACTGTTCATTTTTATGAACGAGTTCGAACAGGAGAGTCACAAAGGCGCATCACAGAACAGAGCAAGGCGACCATTTGTGCTTATAAAACTTAAACTTTGTTATTTATTTTTGAAATGGCCGCTCGTTTCGCTAGATAAGACACTTATTCATCGTCTGGAATCGTTTAAAGCCTTTTGAAGCTGCACTGAAACTCTCATTTGGACCTTGAACCGTTTGGACCCCATTGAAGTCCATTATATGGAGAAAAATCCTGGAATGTTTTCATCAAAAACCTTAATTTCTTTTCGACTGAAGAAAGAAAGACGTGGACATCTTGGATGACATGGGGGTGAGTAAATTATCAGCAAAAGTTTTTTTTTTTTTAGAAGTGAACTACTCCTTTAAATATTTTGGCTAATTTGATTGTGCTTTCAACTACCAATTAGAATGTAATGTAATGTAATTCCATTCCACAGTGGAATAAGTCAGCATTTGGATCATCAACTACTGTAAGATTCAAAGCGATTCATTATACCTCACTATGTTTTTGTGAGTGTGTGAACTAGTCTCAACTCCAGTTTTGCCTCACAATTCCCATCATAACAGCAGTCGCTCCAGCGGGAACCAGAAAGAGCATGCAACTTTGATGCTTGTCCACAATTTTCCCACAAAAAAAAAAAAGAAAGAAAAGTTTTCCCGGAGGATCTTAGCCAAAGTTAGACTTCCTTTGCCTAGATGCTAAAACATTCAAAATGCCTTCCTGTTGACACATTTTAATGTGCGAGGTTGATTTGTTTTGTCTGTGTGGACGGTGCCCAAACTCTCTGCTCTAAAACGCTTAATTAGACACTGCTATCAACTTAGTCTTGTTGCTTGTGTTTTATAGACACGGCATGACATTGACAAGTCAGGGAAAATACGGGACCCTTTATCTTTTCACTTTGAGGTTGTGTAAATCAGTTAGAGGTGAGTGTGTGTACTGATACATTTGAGGATAACCAATATGTTATGTGATCTTTTCAGTAAATTTCAATTCTGTTTCACACACAAAGCTATTATATGGCTGTCTACCACAGTGAACATTTTTCCACAGAGAATGACATGATGGTGGTTAAACGAGGGTGTTTTGGGGTGAACTGTCCCTTTAAGGATAGCTAAGAGAGAGAGAGAGAGGTCTTGAACTAGAATTTGGGCTGGCTTATGTTCACCCGAAGTACTTTGTAAGCACATGCACGCCACGACTCTTTCATGAAAAGCTTGAAACTCTTTGAAGAAAAAAAGCAGTGTTTATGAGAACGACTCTCCCCTCTATACATGTGCCAGCTTTCCAAAACAGCCTCCGTGGAAACAGTGCTCTTTATTTGAACTGGAGATAAATTCAAGTAGAAGAGCCACACACACACACTCACAAACACACCAGACCTGACTCATGCTCTCATATTCACTTCTCCCATAATTCCAGGACAGTTTATGGCCTCTGTCACTCGAATGTGAGTGAAACCTACCAACCTTCAACTTTGGGCTTCGTCTCGGCCAGACGCTCGGCGAACTTCTTCTTGAAGAAAAGAGACTGGAGCCTCTGTTGATAGTGGTCGATTCTGGTGGAGAGAAAATAAATCATTCAGCTTCAGCCATACAGGGTCACATTTCATGTTGCTGGTTCCCATTATTATCAATGGCATTTCATTTTATTACATTAAAGATCAAGAATAGCAATAATGCATTACAATGATAAATAATCATATTATTATTAGGGCTGTCAAACGATTAATCGCATCAAAAATAAAAGTTTGTGTTTACATAATATATGTGGGTGCACTGTGTATAATTATTTTATATAAATGAAGAGTTCAGATGCAAAAGCCTCTAAATGCCATTTGAAATTTTCTTCTTTTCTTCTTTCTGTATATTTAAGTTCAGTAATTTCAATTAAATGGCAATGATAATTACCTATTAATTGTTATCTAAGTGAAATTACTGAACTTAAATATACAAGTTTGATAAAAATCAACATTAAAGATGAAAATTTCAAATGGCATTTAGAGGCTTTTGCATCTGAACTCTTCATATATACACTCACATGCTTGTATATTTAAGAAATATTTTCATGTATATACTGTAGATTTATATATAATTTATATTACATATAAATATAAATATTTTATATATAAATAATATTTTTTTCTTAAATATACATGCATGTGTGTGTATTTATATATACGTATAAAATAATTATACACAGTGCACCCACATTTATTATGTAAACACAAACTTTTATTTTGGATGCGATTAATCGCAATTCAATATTTTAATCGTTTGAAAGCACTAATATATATATATTAAGAAAATCCTGTTATATATGTACTAAGTATGTAAGTCAAAGTATATAGGAAACATGTCTGACTTTGCAGGTTGTTGCTTTGCAAAATGTCAATGTCGTTTATACAAGTACACATGCTGTTCAGTCATGGCTGCATTAATGTACTTGCGTAAAGTATGTGTGTGGCCTTATTCATCTTTTCTGGATTTGCATAGATTTTCTGATAAATGATGGATTTCCCAGGGTATGATGTGGTGTAAGATTGAACAGAGAATTTGGGGAATTTTAGACACCATAGATTTTTAGAAATGAAATGCTTTTTTTTTTTTTTTTTTTTTTTTGCAGTGGCGTGTTTCTTTGGAGGTAAAATATGCTGGAAAAAATCACTAAAGAAAATAAATAAATCACAAAATCAACTAAAAATCACTGCCTGCTTTGTCATTTATGCACTTCAATAATAAATCCTCTGATGAAGAACTTGCGTTTGCATTATTCTTCACTTTTTTCCCCCTTTTTTTTAACCATTGTGCTCATTTATCATCTAAGCTTCAATCATTTGTACCTGCTCATCTCAAACAGGAAGCGGTCGGCCCGGGCCATACGCTCAAGCTCATGTTTGTGTTCCTCCAGAAGGTCAATATCACTTTTTCTCAGGAATAAACTTCAGCAGCTGTGAATGTACAATACATTTACACAGACAGAGTGTTTACTCATAAGCATTAAATGAACAAATCAAAAAGATAGTGTTTTTTAAATGACGAACCTGTTCCAACATGTCTTTAGCCAGCTCTTCCCTCTCATCCATCTCTAGAATGGCTCTTTTTATCTCTTCATTGCTCATTTTTAACCTGTATGAACAGAAAGGGCTTTCTTAATCCTGTAAATTGTTGTTAAAAAAGTAAAAACACCAATAGTGCTGTATGTCAAATCATCCTATGATGTGACATAAAAGGTCAGACCTGGCCTAAAAATCAATGTACAATCAATCTTCTCTCCGCTTAGTTGTGATCAATACAAATCTGTCCACATCACAGAACACCATCAATCTATTCCTGGCCTCATTAAGGCATTATGAATTGCACTAGATAGCTTGTTTCTACATTGAACTGGCACAATTTTCTGTTTTCAAAACTCACTTTTGTTTTTTTCTTTAAGCTCAAAGAAAAGCTCTGAATGTCTTTGCTGAAAAAAGTAAAAATGTTTAAAAAAGTAAAAAAAATTTAGGGATGTCAAACGGTTAATCGCATCCAAAATAAAAGTTTGTGTTTACATAATATATGTGGGTGCACTGTGTATAATTATTTTGTATATAAATAAATACACACACATGCATGTATATTTAAGAAAAAAATATTATTTATTTATAAAATATTTCTATTTATATACAATATAAATTATATATAAATCGATATACAGTATATAGATGAAAATATTTCTTAAATATATACAAGCATGTGTGTGTATTTATATATATAAAATAATTATACACAGTGCACCCACATATATTATGTAAACACAAACTTTTATTTTGGATGCAATTAATCGCGATTAATCATTTGACAGCCCTAATTTTTTTTTTAAATCAACTCCTGGTTTGGCTACATTAATTCACCTTTTCTTTGTGAGGGCATGTTAATTGAAAAAGAAAACCAACGATGTTCACAAATAAATCATTTATAATAAACACTAATCCAGTTTTCCATTAAGAATCGTTAATTTAGATTTTATAATGAATTTAAGAACAACTTTCAGTAAATCAAGTGGCAATCTGTCTTAGTTTTCAGATTCAAATTTTTATGCAACTAAAATAAGTTATGACCAGTTTTAACACAAACGACTAGTAAGGCTCGTCTTAAAATGTTATGCAATGGTTTCAGTACACCATTTCCTACTATAAAGTAACATCTCAACAACATTCAAACAACATACAAATAACGTGTTGGCTCAACAACATTTTCTTACTGTTTGCATCGTTTTTTTAAGTTATGGCAACTCAACTAACAAACTATTGAGTTGGAAGAACTTAATAATTGGTAACATAAACACAAAGTTGAATTTTTGAATTCAAGTTTCTCAAACAATTTGTATTGTAGCGGCCAGTGTTG